CTAGGAATTTTTGTTGCTTATAATTTTCTAAAAATGATGAAAAATAATCCACGAAGCGCTGTATTCAGAATAATCATCCATGAATGTCGAGTTCAGAGATGATTAATCTGTGTCTTTGTTATATTTCGTGATTTGTAGGATCCCTCGGCTTTTGAATATCTGTTATCGAGTAAGCAAGAGGATTAATTTACATCTGTGCAAAATCACGGAATCATCGGTGCGTTCAGAGGATGAACGCGAATTAACGCGTTTTGTTGGGTAAGGTGCGTGGAATCGGGCATCGAGAGGAATTGGGAATTAACCTCGACGAATAATTGTTTGTAGACAATTGTAATAAAGATTAAATATATAGTTATATACAATTTAAGATTGGAAATATATTTTGGAAATGCAGACTATAATCAGTGCAATAATAACTTCATGAAAATAATAGTACAAGTGCATACCAAATTTCAATGAATGAGTTATAATGTGTACGAGTATGTAGTAAATACGTACAACTGTATAGTAAATGTGAACGTGAGTGCAGAATAATGAATGAGTAAGTAGTAAATGTGTATGAGTAAGTAGTAAATGTGAATGAGTAAGTAGTAAACATGTATGAGTAAGTAGTAAATGTGTACGAGTATGTAGTAAATACGTACGACTGTATAGTATTATTAAATTAAATGTGTAAGTGAGTGCAGAAGAGTGAATGAGTAAGTAGTAAATGTGTATGAGTAAGTAGTAAATGTGTACAAGTATGTAGTAAATACGTACGACTGTATAGTAAATGTGTAAGTGAGTGCAGAAGAGTGAATGAGTAAGTAGTAAATGTGTATGAGTAAGTAGTAAATGTGAATGAGTAAGTAGTAAACATGTATGAGTAAGTAGTAAATGTGTACGAGTATGTAGTAAATACGTACGACTGTATAGTATTATTAAATTAAATGTGTAAGTGAGTGCAGAAGAGTGAATGAGTAAGTAGTAAATGTGTATGAGTAAGTAGTAAATGTGAATGAGTAAGTAGTAAACATGTATGAATAAGTAGTAAATGTGTACGAGTATGTAGTAAATACGTACGACTTTATAGTAAATGTGTAAGTGAGTGCAGAAGAGTGAATGAGTAAGTAGTAAATGTGTATGAGTAAGTAGTAAATGTGAATGAGTAAGTAGTAAACATGTATGAGTAAGTAGTAAATGTGTACGAGTATGTAGTAAATACGTACGACTGTATAGTATTATTAAATTAAATGTGTAAGTGAGTGCAGAAGAGTGAATGAGTAAGTAGTAAATGTGTATGAGTAAGTAGTAAATGTGAATGAGTAAGTAGTAAACATGTATGAATAAGTAGTAAATGTGTACGAGTATGTAGTAAATACGTACGACTTTATAGTAAATGTGTAAGTGAGTGCAGAAGAGTGAATGAGTAAGTAGTAAATGTGTATGAGTAAGTAGTAAATGTGAATGAGTAAGTAGTAAACATGTATGAATAGTAGTAAATGTGTACGAGTATGTAGTAAATACGTACGACTTTATAGTAAATGTGTAAGTGAGTGCAGAAGAGTGAATGAGTAAGTAGTAAATGTGTATGAGTAAGTAGTAAATGTGAATGAGTAAGTAGTAAATGTGTATGAGTAAGTAGTAAATGTGTACAAGTATGTAGTAAATACGTACGACTGTATAGTAAATGTGTAAGTGAGTGCAGAAGAGTGAATGAGTAAGTAGTAAATGTGTATGAGTAAGTAGTAAATGTGAATGAGTAAGTAGTAAACATGTATGAGTAAGTAGTAAATGTGTACGAGTATGTAGTAAATACGTACGACTGTATAGTATTATTAAATTAAATGTGTAAGTGAGTGCAGAAGAGTGAATGAGTAAGTAGTAAATGTGTATGAGTAAGTAGTAAATGTGTACAAGTATGTAGTAAATACGTACGACTGTATAGTAAATGTGTAAGTGAGTGCAGAAGAGTGAATGAGTAAGTAGTAAATGTGTATGAGTAAGTAGTAAATGTGAATGAGTAAGTAGTAAACATGTATGAGTAAGTAGTAAATGTGTACGAGTATGTAGTAAATACGTACGACTGTATAGTATTATTAAATTAAATGTGTAAGTGAGTGCAGAAGAGTGAATGAGTAAGTAGTAAATGTGTATGAGTAAGTAGTAAATGTGAATGAGTAAGTAGTAAACATGTATGAGTAAGTAGTAAATGTGTACGAGTATGTAGTAAATACGTACGACTGTATAGTAAATGTGTAAGTGAGTGCAGAAAAGTGAATGAGTAAGTAGTAAATGTGTATGAGTAAGTAGTAAATGTGAATGAGTAAGTAGTAAACATGTATGAATAGTAGTAAATGTGTACGAGTATGTAGTAAATACGTACGACTTTATAGTAAATGTGTAAGTGAGTTCAGAAGAGTGAATGAGTAAGTAGTAAATGTGTATGAGTAAGTAGTAAATGTGAATGAGTAAGTAGTAAACATGTATGAATAAGTAGTAAATGTGTACGAGTATGTAGTAAATACGTACGACTTTATAGTAAATGTGTAAGTGAGTGCAGAAGATCGAATGAGTAAGTAGTAAATGTGTATGAGTAAGTAGTAAATGTGAATGAGTAAGTAGTAAACATGTATGAGTAAGTAGTAAATGTGTACGAGTATGTAGTAAATACGTACGACTGTATAGTAAATGTGTAAGTGAGTGCAGAAGAGTGAATGAGTAAGTAGTAAATGTGTATGAGTAAGTAGTAAATGTGAATGAGTAAGTAGTAAACATGTATGAATAGTAGTAAATGTGTACGAGTATGTAGTAAATACGTACGACTTTATAGTAAATGTGTAAGTGAGTGCAGAAGAGTGAATGAGTAAGTAGTAAATGTGTATGAGTAAGTAGTAAATGTGAATGAGTAAGTAGTAAACATGTATGAATAAGTAGTAAATGTGTACGAGTATGTAGTAAATACGTACGACTTTATAGTAAATGTGTAAGTGGGTGCAGAAGATCGAATGAGTAAGTAGTAAATGTGTATGAGTAAGTAGTAAATGTGAATGAGTAAGTAGTAAACATGTATGAATAAGTAGTAAATGTGTACGAGTATGTAGTAAATACGTACGACTTTATAGTAAATGTGTAAGTGAGTGCAGAAGAGTGAATGAGTAAGTAGTAAATGTGTATGAGTAAGTAGTAAATGTGAATGAGTAAGTAGTAAACATGTATGAATAAGTAGTAAATGTGTACGAGTATGTAGTAAATGTGTACGAGACTTTATAGTAAATGTGTAAGTGAGTGCAGAAGAGAGAATGAGTTAGTAGTAAATGTGTATGAGTAAGTAGTAAATGTGAATGAGTAAGTAGTAAATGTGTACGAGTATGTAGTAAATACGTACGACTGTATAGTAAGTGTGTACGGAGTGTGAATGATAAGTAGTAAATGTGTACGAGTATGTAGTAAATACGTAAATGTGTGTAGCAAGTGTGTAGTAGTAAACGTATATAGTAACGTTGAATGAATGAGTTGTAAGTATGTCGATATATATATGAATGAGTATAAGTGTGTAAGTATGAATAGTAAGTGTTTATCAGTATGTAGAAGTAGTAGTGAATGTTTATTAGTGTGTAGAAGTAGTAGTAAGTGTTTACCAGTGTATCGAATTGTGTACGAGTGTGCAGATGTGTGTAAAATAATTACAATAACTGTCAATACATTTTTAAAACTGTATTCTATTTTCTTTTACTTTGCAACTTTCTGGGACAGTTTTCTAGAGATTGGAAAATATATTAAGATATATAAATAAAAACAATATTTCAAACTATCAATGTAGGATAATCAATAACTTTTAAGTCGAGTCGTTTCTTTGTTATTAATTCAAGCCAATCAGTTCCATATAAATGTTTTACTTTTTCCAAAATCTTGAATAAGACAAAAGTCGAACGCAACTTTACAATTTCTAACACATTTTTTGCTATATTGACTGAGTGCATCTACTTGTGCCGAGTAAATAAAATTAATTCAAATTAGAATTAAAACAACGCAATGATTTATTTTCATTGCAACCATTTAATCCTCTAGAGCGTTACAATCACTCAGCTTTACTTGATCAAAATAAAATTAGATTAAAAGTTCTCTGGGAATTCAAGTTTATCTTGTAAACAGATAGAATTAGAATTCGAAGAAATACAACTAAAATAATAAATAGAACTTAAAGTATTTCATTATGCACCAGAAGGCGGTGAATGTTTATAAAATTGAATTTTTTTGGTTCCTTATTTTAATTTATGTCTAATCATGTTGCAACCATTTCATCATACTTTTTATATAAATTAACACTTAAAAATGACCTAACACCACTTAATTTTCTCATGCGTGTTCCGTTGTTATAAATCCACGGTCGCGATCGCAATAATAAGTTGCATACCGAAATTCTTTCCAACCGATTTCACTGTCAATTATTCCGCATGTTGCTCAACTCTAAGAAAATTATAACTCCAAATGATCAAAATTACTATTTATGCAAATTAAATATATAATATCCAACGATACGTGGAAAAAATGTAGTGGATTCGTGTTTTCATAGAAAAATGAAGGGGAATCGATTGAACTATAGGTATGCGAGTTTGGCAATAATTATGTTCTGAAGCATATCGATATTCGAATATAAAACACGATGCACGGGTGCTACAATCATCAGTTCGACACTATTCCTTCTTAGTATACAAAATAACTAATAGAGAAGAATCAATATGGTTTCATACTTAGTGAGTGAAAAAAAAATAATATTTATTTTTGGAGCATTCACGATTAATTAAAAAATTTACTTGTTTTTATTACTTTTTTTATTTAATTCCTTTATCTAGGCAACATTTGGGCTCATAGTTGCAGCTGCGAGTTTAGCCAACTGCGGTTATTTGGTGGCTTGGAGGCGGTGAATCCGGTGGATACGGCGGTGGTTCTTCGGAGGATTTGGAGGCGGTTCCTCCGGAGGATCTGAAGGTGGACACGGCCATGCTTACTCTACGATAATGCTCCACCAACACGCTCAAAGCGGCGGCGGTGGCGGACACGAAGAACACTACCCTCATGTAATAGAATGAAATAAAATATTTGCCCGTATACAATTTTTAACCAAATTGAACAAATAGAAGAAACTCATGGCTTAGATATATGGATGCTTCAAAATGTAATTGTTTTCAAATGTGTTTTTATTTTAAACAGCATTTCCCTGAATACAAATACGACTACGCAGTGAAAGATTTCCACACCGGAGACCACAAAAACGCCTGGGAACATCGTCACGGAGACAAAGTCTACGGTAACACAACTTTTTGAACGTTGTTTAATTATTATAAATGTTTATTACTGTCATTTCTACTTCCCAGGAGGTTATATGCTAAAAGAAGCCGATGGCACAATCCGTGTCGTAGAATACGAGTCCGACAAACACAACGGCTTTAACGCGATCGTGAAACACTTAGGAAAGGCCGAACACCCACAAATCTACGGAAAATACGGTGGCGGTGGTGAAGGAGGTTCCCAAGGCGGACATTATTAAAAAAAAAACACATTACTTATCATTCCTATCAGGCGATAACGACGGATAATGGCTCGAACTGATCTCTGATTATTATTTCTATTTTTATTTTTATTTCTTGTTGTTATGACCGTATGTGAATGTACTACACGACTAGGAAGTTAAAGTTAAATGTAAGACTGTGTTATATAAAGCGAGTAATTGTTATGTATATATTATTGTTTAAATAAATGAAAACGGTGATTTTGGAAAACATTTGTATCATTTAATTCTCATATTACTTTACAGAATTTATTGTATTATAAATAATTAAATAAAAATTCATTATGTTTAATAAGTTTCGCTTCATTTAAACGTCTAAAGGCCAGCTAAAAGATAATGATTATGAAGTAAATAAATAATAATAAGACGTTCTATCATTTACCCGTAATCAACTTTTGCAATGAAAATAATCGCCACTAAACGTCCCCTCGAATTTTTCTAACGATCATCTTTCCATTTTTCCGTCGTCATATCTCGAAATCCGGAATCTCCTAATAATATCACTCTTACCAGGTCCTGGTACTAACGAAAGCAACGCCGCGACAATCGCGCGGCTTAATCATGCCGAAATGGCGATTACTGTAATTGAATTTTGCCGCAGATTTCGGATTATCTACATAATCATAAATCACTTCGATTTGATGAGCATCAGGAGCGGATTAAGGGTAATAATAGAAAATTCAATAATAGATAATTGTCGGAATAATACCTATACTTGAGGTAAACTAATCGATTATAATAGTATGATCTAATTTAATTTACTGTAAAAATCTGTCTAATTTTGTGACATTAATTGTTAATTTATTAACATGGATGAAAATCAATAGGTGTAATTATTGAAAGAAAACCATTGTATCTTTATTTATTCATATACATGCTACGAAAAGCTTTTTATTCTAAGTATAAAAATATGCTAAAACGATTTAACAAGGTGAAAGTGAACGCAAACACAAATACGTTCTTGGGACATACACAGTTATGATTCCAAGTTCTTCAGAGAACAATTTTTTATTTAATTCAAACTTTATTGAATTTTTATAATTAAACAATAAATATATTTTTGAGTGCTAATTTAGACCACATAGTCTATTACTATGCAAAGTTTCAAGTTTG